CTCGGACTTTGCAAAGGGTTAAAATTTTATCTGAGTCTTTCTTATGCACAAAAATCCCTCAATAAAAAGCATAACATTTTTTACAATATGCTGGCAAGTGACATGTGAACTGTATTGACATTAACCATTCCAGTTTCTACTAAATTAGAGTTTCAAAGATTACCAGTTTTATTCTGCTGCATTTCTCATTACTTCAACTTAATGATGTGATGCCATACATATCACCTCCCTTTCACCTTTCAGCTATCTTACACCTTTATCCAATCACCTGCCTGTGAACTCTACTGCAGGTCTTAATTGTGCTAAATTCACAGCATGCGTTCAGGTTTTCCAAAATGCCAAAGTTGGGCCAAAAAATACCATCTGCTGGGAAGGGGGAGTTAAACCCGGCTGGAACCAAGAATCCTGCCCTTTGCCTTTATTTAATACTTCAGGCATTTTGCAGCATAGCAAATTCCACAAAATTGCATTCAGCTGGGAAACTAATTTGCATCAACTTTAGTCAGAAGCTCAGGGGAATTATAGTACCCACCAATGTAGCCATTGGCAAGACAAGCAAGAAGTATAGCCAGTTACATGAATGTAGTGTTAACCTAGGTTTTCACTCAAATCTTGGAAAATTAAAAATAGCTCAAAATGTTTTGATGTAAAACAAATCCTGTTTCTGAACCAAATGACAAAAACAAAACCCAACAGTATTAGCATGACAAAATGCACAAGGAAAAAGGACTCTTTCAGCAAAATATAGTTCCCTCAACTTTGTAGCTTATCATATCATGGGTATAAGCACTTCAAAGCAACAGCCCTTTCATCCAAAATTAAGATTAATTAATCCCTTCATTTGGCAAGTTAATACATTTAAAGTAACTGGGAAAGCATCATTATCTTAATTTTAGACATCCAGAAAACAGAAACCGCTCTTGTTTTGCTCAGTATAAGTTCTCTGCCCTATTATATTCTCCTGAATTAACAGTTAATTGTTGTCATTTTTAATGGAATAAATTACATGCTTTGAGAATGGTATGCCTGAATCGTTTTTTCTTCCCTATTGATTCTCTCTTTCCCCCCAGTCACTATCCAGTGAGTTGGCAGACACTGACAAAACCCCAAGTATTCACTGTGAAGTTTCTCTGTACTGGGGAACATGCGTACCAGTATCTTTCTCATTATCAAAGTACCTTATCTTTATGGGTTTCTTCAATAAATGGAAACTGTACTGTATTAAGTATAATCTAGCTTTATTTCTCATAAAAGCAATTCATTTCAACTATATTCTGAAGAATCTTGGAGTTCCTTTGACACTTTTTCAGGGCTGTCTTAAAGCAAGTGAAGCATTGATCCTTTTCTGATTAATGTGCAATCATGCGGGAACACGCTCTGTGTCCTAGGGCACACTCTGGATGCACATAAAGTTACAGTGAAACCCAACATGTATGCCCATACCCCACATTAACCAAGTGGCCTAAAATCATCCACAATGCAAGCATTGCTTTCGGTTACAAGTATTTTGCAACAGTTGTTGCCAATTGCAACAGTTACAAGAAGTGAAATTCTCATTACTGTTTTTCTTAACACAACCTGCTTTTTACACATCTTACACAGAAGAAGTACACGGGAGGAACCCTAGTTAATCAGGGTCAAAACCTTCCTAGTCCTGGGTCCTGTTTCTACAATGGCCAACTAGATGCCCATGGGAAGCACAAAGCAAGGGAGGACATTTGCTGTTCTCTAGCAAATGGCATTCAGAAACACATAGCAATCATGACTAGCATCAATTCCTCATCTTATCCCACATGACTGCCTGATCCCCTGTGAAGGTCACCTAAGCTGGTTGTGATCACCAAGCTGGCAGGACCAAATTTAATAGCTTATGTGCTGGCTGAAGGCAGTTGATATGCCCTGAAGTTCAGCTTCCCTGGATGTTTCCCTGTTTTCCCTTTATCTATTTTCTCCATGCCATACATGGTTTTATACACCTAATCCACCTGACTGCATGGAACAGGAAATGGGTCAGTGGGGGAGGGGGGGTTACATTTACAAATTTCAGTCCTTTCAATTACCAGTCTCTGCAGAAGCAGTTCTGTAGCAAAGCATCCTCAATTCACTCCAATTTGAAAGAAATGCAGTTCCAAGGCAGAGTTCATGCTTTGATGCAGGAAGGCCCCAGTTCGGTTCCTGCATTCATCAGGCAGGGCTAGGAAAGCATCGCTTCCTGAGATGCTGGAGAGTCACGGCCAGTCAGTGTTGATGGGACTGGGTGAGATGGGCCAATGATCCGATTCGCTTTTAGGGGAGCCTTCTATGTTCCATTTGTTGGAGGTTACAAAATAATTTATTTGTGTGGTAAATGAATGGAGTTAAGTCTGCTCAGAGAGAAGCATCTGGTTTCCATCTGCTCTCATGGGAAACAAAAGTACTTTGGCTAGAAGCAAAAATCAAAACTCATACACAGCCATTGAGGAAGTAGGTTTGCTGTAAAAGATGCTTACAGTCATGATCATAACCTTAAACAGATTGCATATGTTCAGTGATGTGAACAAGCCCAACTGAAATATATACAAAGAAAATAATTTAATGTGGAATTTGCAAATGAATTGAGCGGAAAGCAATCAATAAAAGAATGGTAATGACTGGGTGACACTTTCCTAACATTTGAATCCCCTTCTTAATTCTTTGCGTCTCTGCTTTCAGTTCCATTCTCATCTTCTCAGCCTGACATATGCAAGGCCTACAGACAGGATACGTCAGTGCTGTTCTCTGTTCAACACCCAACACACTCTTGATACTAATAAAGTTGGTATTAGTAGGTACAGTGGCTGCTGAGGACACCATCAGCATATGTCATCACTCTTTTAAGTGCCATTCTTTGAAGAACAAAATGTTAAAGAAATTGTACAAGAACTTGTATTTTTAAATGTATGAGTGACAAAGCATACTTAATAAACACGGGGAGCTGCTTTAGAGTACTAATGCCTATACACTCCTTTGATATCCTTGCTTGGATATGCTGCCATAATGGCAATTTTCTCCTGTGAACATGTGCAACCAACAGTGTTATGAATGAAAAGAGGGTAGTCTCCATGGGCAGTAAAGTTTACTTTAGCCTAAATGAGACACTGAGAGCCACTGGAGTGTAGTTGTTAAGAGTGCTGGATTGGTACCCAAGGGCTCCAGCTCCTAGTCCCCACTCAGCCACAAGCCAAAACCTTAACAAAAACCGTGAAATGGTACATGAGTCCTACGAATCATTATCTGAGGGAAAGTTCTGTTAGCCAGTGGCATCAAAAGCAAAACCCTCAAGACTATATTTTTGCAAAGTAGCATACACCTAAACATAGGGAGAATATTTGAGGTCGGGCATAATGGAAGTTGTAGACCAGCACATCTGGAAGTTGCTGTGTTGGAGAAAGGTGATTTATAGTGCCATGTGCCTGAATTTTGCTACCAAGCATGCCAGTGTTCATAGACCCTGCTGCTGAAGAAGTTTGTCTAATGCTTCTGGGATCCAAAGATATTAAAAGCAGATGGGAGAGCAGGAGAGTGGAAACTGGCATGAACCCATAAGACAAAATTCCCTCTTAAACAACGCTAAGATGCCAGGTCTGGAACCAGGGGACAGTTTATTTGATCTTTGCTTGTTTAATGCTGTGATAAGCTCACTCTACTTCCAGCTGTCAGGTAGCAGACACTAGTGACTCATATCCTGTATGAGGGCTGAAACACTGGCTACTTGCTTTCAGAAAAATTTAGTAGAAAGCTACAAGATCTTTCATGCTAGGCACCAAATAAAGGCTAAAACAGAACTGTCGCCACTGCGCCCCCATTTTGCAAAGTGTGTGTAGAGGGAGAAGTCACAACTGCTTCTTTAGATTTGACAGGCTTAGTCTTGTAAGACTACATGAATGGTCATAACTGATAATCGGGATTAAAAAGCAGAAAGAATTCATAAAAAACTTATCCTAGGCAAGTTGTCACAATAACTTGTTTGTCAGTGACAGGCGCCAGATGTTCAAGCAGAAGAAATGCATAAACAAGCTCCACTCATTTGCAGATTCTGATCAGATACAGGCTAACCATATTAGTTTAGTAATTGATGTAGTTATACTTCCTATTAATACATATAAAGCAATTCTTTCTATTTCCAAAATCATCAATGTTTAATGTGAACATTATCTTCTGGCTATAAATTCAAAGGGTCAAGTCAGGTACAGTACTTCTTATCTTTTGTTCAAAACACTTATCCCCTTGACCTGAAAGTAGAATTTAAAGTAATTCAGAATCACTGGAATAGTATGAACTTAACAAGGGAAAAATCATACTAATAAAAGTTATGCTCATCCTTTCAAGTTAGCTGGACCAATGATGAAAGGAGTATTGGAATGTTAGCCACCTCCCTGAACTACAACAAAGAGTTTACAGGTGTGGAGGATGAGATCTTGTCCACTTTGTGATAAGAACAGATCCAGCCGAGTTCATTTATTGCTCTTTTTCATCTTCCAAGAGCAAAAACTTACACAGAAAACTAGTTCCCAGGCTGAGCTCTAACACAAACTTGGCATTTAGTATGTATTCCACCACTATTACTCTCTTCCCAAGCCAAATCACTGGCTAGAAAACAAATATATACTATGTGCAATACTTTTAAGTAACAATAATGCAATATTTTCCATTTTCAGCACACAAACGAACAAGCAGAATTTTAAAGGAGTTTTGAGTATAGGATGTAAAATGAGAAAGATGCCATTTCAACAGGAAAATCTAATGAGGAAGTGTTACAAAGAACTCTGTTAGGTGACATTTTAGATCTGTATTAGACAGCTAAATGATTAGTAATTATTTTTATACATGGATGCTTGGCAGTTTTAGACCATATTTAGCCATTTTACTTAACTCAGAGATGATTTGTTGACACATAATAACAGCATTGCAAACATTGCAACATACAAAGAAAATGCACTTTCCCCTTAAAGGCAGAAATACTATTTTAAAAACCCTTTTACCTCTGCAGATTCATAGTCAGGTTGCCTGAACAGGTCTTGATCTTGTTCTGAGCTTCCAGGTGAGTCATGCCATCTGCACTTATCCCATCGATAGTGAGAACCACGTCACCTATTCCGACGTTTGCATTAGCTGCTTTGCCTCCTTCGCTCAACTGCAAGATCAAACGCAATATATGTTTTAAATTGCCTTCCAAGATCCAATGAGAGTTAACAACAAGAGTTAGTCAAGTTTCAAGTTGAACTAAATGGTCATTTGAAATTAAGGGTTCTAAATATTCTTACAACATGTCTTCTGAAGGACCATGACAGACTAGTCCATCGGGCTGTAGTGGCCACTGAAAAAAAATTCAGCCCGCGGTTTAATTCTAGTTTTAGCAGTGTGTCGTGCAAGGGATTTACATGACTGCTGGCAATATCCACTGAGTCCTACAAAGCTGGCTTTTAGAGTGCCACTGTGACTTAGTTTAGGTGGGGTTGGTATGCTACAGCTACCCAGCAATCAACACATGACAATTGCAACAAGTTATGATACCGCTGTGTGTCATCAGTGTTTTCACTCCCATTACAGGCTTAACGCTTTCTGGTAGAAGCCATGAGCTAGCAAAGTCATGCAATTCTGAGCTAGTCCCCACCCTTATTCATATCTTTAGGAAAATATGTTATAGCAAATATCTTGATCACTTTTGACCTAGAACAGTAACAGGCACACCAATGGAAATCAGTATCACCCAAAATTGAGAGAGGAAACCAACCATGGTGCACTGATTTGAAAGGCTGGGTTAATAAAGAGCCCGCTTCCTGGACCAATGAAGAACATGTCTGCACAAGCCCTGTACAGGGCAACCACTTCACAGTTCTACCAGCAACTTCTTTTATCTCCTGAGAAAGAGCAACTCTATGTTCCCAGTAGCCTGGGAACTTTAGATCCTCCCTCACACACTATTTTTCATCAGCTGCAACTGAAGAGGATAGCTCCACAAAATGCAATACATCTATATAGGGAGAGATATAAATAGATGCAGAAACAAGAGTTGTATCAGAACAAGGTAGCAGTGAACAGCTCTGCAGGTTCTGCTTGGTCTTTAAGTAAATGGAAGTTGCATGCAGAATTCAGGACATTTCTATATTGCTCAATAGCTAAGGTTCTCCAAGCAGTTTACAAAGATTAGACATGCTAATGATTTATTATACATAAAATCATTTGAATACAAACCTAAAAAGAGAGGACACACAGATGCACATACATTCAAACAATTTAAAGCAATCAACACTAAGAAGAATCCATGCCCTGATTAAAAAATTCATCGCCAAACCAGGCACCTAACAAATCTGGTGTTGCCAGGTGTTCCTCATCAAGGAAATAATTCCGCACTTGAGGCACCACCACCAAAAAGGTCACCTCCCAATCTTCTCTCAGAGGAGGCACCTGAAGGAGAACTACAGACAATTAATGTAGTGTATGCATAGGTTCATGCCAGGAGAGGTGCTTCACTGGGTATTAGGCATCAAGACAAGTAAGCATTTATAGGTTATATGGTCCACACACAGAAACAGGCAGTAGAGGTTAGGGTTATTTATGTAAAGGTACAAGAACATTTCAAGTAACAGACAGACTTGGATTCTAACTAAAAGAAAGTTTCCTTCTTTCTCCTTCCCCATACAGCCACCTACCCACAGGAAGAAACTCTCCAGAGAAAAAGTGAACAGAAAGTAGATATCGAGATATTTGGACTACAACCCCCAGCATTCCTAACCATTTATCACACTGGCAGTGACTTCTGAGTCTCAAATTCTCCATCATGTGGATATCTACCCTCTTTCAACCCCAGCTCAAGAACTATGTAGGTTTGAGGCAGTGGAGTGGAAGTCAGCTTGTGGTAGAGTTTGTGTGATTTTCTCATCCATCCCATTTTCGGGGGATACCTGGACTTGCAGGGAAGGTTATGAAACTTCTCTTGCATATATTTCTAAACTTATCTTAGGATCCAAGCCAGAGCAGTTTTGGTTTCAATGTGTGTATCATTTTCACACAGACTGGGATGAATAACAAAGTTAACTGAAACTTTGTGCCAGGAAGAATAAATCAAAATGAATGTTCACATATAACTATTTGCCTTTCTCCAGTTTTAAATTATTAATTTCACTGCTCTGTTTATATTATAGGCAAAAGCTCCTACAAAACCATAACCATATCACAGTTTTGACCAACTGTTAACTACAAAAATGGTGTGAAAAATAACCTGAATTTTTCCTAGCATGTAAGACTCAAAGCTTCAGTCAGTCTAGAAAACTCATTTTAGTAGATTAGCATTAAAAGTACATCAGCCTTCCACATACGCCACTATGTTCTTCTTAGCATCTTTCCCTTAGGCATCTGTAATGGGTCTAAGTGTAGATCCTGATATGCTTAAAGCATTTTAAAGTATGGTAGGAAGCTTCATTTCTGGATTGTTTCATCAAGGAATCTTCAAGGTAAGAAATATTCAGTAGTTTCCTTTCCTGGAAGCAAAAATGAAAAAAAACTGAAGCTGTCTTCCCATGGACATATCATAAGAAGGCAGAGAACATGATCATGCTAGGGAAAGTCAAAGGCAGAAGAAGAATCATAGAATAGTAGAGTTGGAGGGGGCCATGAAGGCCATCAGGTCCAACCCCCTGCTGTTGCAGGACACCAAGTTACACCATCCACTCAGATGGCTGTTCAGTTTCTTTCTGATTGATAAGAAGAAAAGGAAGAGCAAACATAAAATGGATTGATTCCAAAAAGGAAGCCACAGTCTTGAGTTTCCAAGAGCTTAGCACGGCTGTGGAGAACAGGACCTTTTGAGTCACTATAATTGGGAGATGACTTGGTAACATGTAACGACAACACTTTAACGAATATGGGTTTGTTAGCCAAAAGCTTGTTTCAATCCTTATTTTTTTAAAAAGTCGTTCACTAATATAAAATAAATAACAACAATATATAAACTAAAGAACCCTACCCCATAATTTGATACTTAAAGAGCTAGACAGAATTTGTAAGCACTGTCAGCATTAGTGCTTCTTGCCTAAAATGGTGGTGTCTACAGTCCCTTGCCTACAGAAAATGGAAATAGCATACCTATTCAGCAGTAAGTCAATGAATGGCACCACCAATGGGAATATGTATGAAATCAAACAAGAATATGGATGGAAAGAACAGGTTATCCTTTCCATTTAGCTTGCCAACATGGGATTATTCTCCACGGTATGTTCATGTATGCTTCTGTTCTGTCTAGTTTCAAGTGTCTCACAGCATGGAGATTCCAAGAGCTTTCTCTAAGAATTTATTTCACTGCTGCACTGTTATATAGACCCCAGAAATTAATTACGCATGCTTCATTCCATGAAGAGCATTCAGTCATGGAGGGGGAAATTTCACTGCTCACATTTCCATCTGTTACTTCTAGTTATTAACTGTAATTCACTCATCAAAGATAAATCAGTGTTTGAATCTTGCCAATGTACTTAGTTTTAGTTAGAATTTCTATATTTTAATTTTTTAAATCTCATTTTTTTATTTAGCTCTGTGGATATATGGTGGTTGCTTTTCTTAATTCTCTTTCTATTGCATTTCTGTGTTCACATGGATTCTTTGAGCTTTTAAAATACTAGGATCAACTGGAAAGTCCCAGAACACAGACCTACTTTTGATTAGTACAAGCTGTAAGCCACAAACATTCCATACATGCCAGGTTACATACAAAGGAATTGAATCACATATGCTGTTAATGCACACAGAGGAACACTTGAGATACCAATGTTATATGTGAATGGGCCAGTACACAAAGGTTTATGTCTACATTAGCAGGTCCAAATGGAACAATCATGTTCATAACAACTTGACACTTGTCCTGTATCCCACACAAAAGGCCAAAAGCAAAACAGAAACACTCCAAGAGGCATCCATTCCTGAGCTGAAGTATTAGGTGAGGGAATATATGAGCAAATGAGTTCCTACAAAGAAGACACATTAAACTAGTCTAGAATTCTGGCATGCTAGCTCAGTGCATAAGGTTGAACATTGTATGAGAGAAGAAGCACTCAAGCATTCTATCCCACATCTTCTGCCCATAGTGGTCTATCTAATTAAAGGCTGCATAATCTGTTGTAGA